AAAAAAAGGTACATATTGAGATTTATCCTGGAGTATATTTACATTAAATTTTTTCCTTACACAATAACTAAAGTGTAGTGAATGCGCAAAAAAAGTGCACCAAAAGGTCAGTGAAAGCGCAGCTAAAATGCATCAAAAGCGCAAAACATTTAGTGAAAGCATAGCGCTTTTGCTATAACTATAACTACACTATTGTTGTCCCAATATCTAAGATTAGATTTGCTAGCATTAGTATAATTTTTGTGCAGATCTTTCATATCCTCCAGGGTGTTACTCAAGAGGAAGCAGAAAATAAGAATGCTTATATAACTGCTATTGATAACCTCCAAATTCAAACTTCTCCTCAATCTCCTCACCCACACCAAAAGGATTTTCCACCCATGGCCCTCTTTCTCCCCTACAATTCTACCCACACCCATGGAGACCCCCCTCTAGCTCAAGGTGAGAATTGGGCTAGTGTTCAAAAGAAATTACTTGGTGCCCGCCAAAACATTTGCAAAATAATTTTAGTGAATTTGGGCACCAGGCTTGATCGACTTAAATAAAAAGTTAATTCTCTTGAACACAAGCTCATCCATCATATATGAAATGCATCTTTGTCATCCTCAACTATATATAAGGAAGCACCCCCCCCCCCCCACTTATACAATAAAGAAAAATAATAAGAGATGATATGAAACCTCCCCCAACTCCACAATAAGCATCTCCCAACTTATAATATAATTTTTATTGATTTATTTAAAATATTTCCTCAACCTGCAAATAACACAATGGAATATCTAGGGAGGGATTTCCTTAGTATAGATAAGCAAAAATTTATGGATGATTTCTTTAAAGTATTATGACAAGTAAGATTCATTCAATTTAAATCATTTACTTCAATTTAAGCTATTAACATTTTAAACTTTGAAACCGTAGAAAAAGAGTAGCTAAAGCACAATAAAAAGGGTCAAAGGGTAGTGAAAGCATAAAAAATCACAAATAAAGTGCAGTTAAGCTCTAGCTCTATCATTGAACTATACTTTAATTACATTTTGACTGCGTTTACCACGCTTTTGTTGTATTTTCACTACACTATATATACGCTTTACATGCATTTTTCATTATATTCACTAAGTTTTTTTTTTTTTTTGCAGGGGTGACATTATTTTTTCTTCTGGTAACATTGTGATATTGAGAGCTAGTCTTGATGACTTAGTTACTAATAATACTTAGATAACAACCATTTAAATGCATTTGCTTTATTGTTATATGAAAAGAATAAGCTTGTAACTAACTTGTTTCAACCCTTCTTATTCATCTCTCCAATACACAGGGTTAGTATTTATGTAAAATATTATATATATATATATATATATATAATTTTATTTTCTCAATATTAGCAATATCTTTATTAATTTCTTACAAATATACAAGGAATATAATCACTCTGCCCAATTATACATCCACGTATGAATTAGGGTTCAATGAAGGAAAACAATCTTCTAATTCAACCCATCATCCACATTAAGTATTGGACCCTTCATGTATGCAAGCTAAAGGGAAAAATTTAGAAATTTTATGATTCCTTAACTAATCTGCAACACAAGTAAATTCTTCTAGCAATCAAAAGTTAAACACTTATAGTATGTTAATTCTTTTCTCGATATGGCCAGTGAAGTAATATTTGTTCTTTATTTTGTTCAGATAATATATATATATATGAGACACGAAAGGATCCTTTTAATCAAATATAACAAAATGGAATATACAAAATATATGTGGACTTCTAGACTAGACGAACAGTGTTGATTGCAGAATATTAATCTACAAATATATGGAAAAAGTTATTCTTTAAAGAAAACTGGATTGGATAGAGGAAGAATTGTATTGTTTCTATTTTTCCTATTGATTTTCCTCTTTTTGTGATGTCAAAAGAGGAAGAATTGTATTGTTGTTGTTATGTTGTTGTTTTGTTATTCATTTGTTGTTTATATATGTTTATCACCTAAGGGGGAGTTTAGAGGAAAGCAACTTTTTGAAAATATAAAAAATAACAATATATACCATCATAAAAAATGAAGAGATTATTGCAAACATGATCCAAGCATTGTAATTTTAATGATAACAAATATTATTTTGTCTGTTACAACTTTCTCCTATTTCTATGATATTCTATTTTTGTTTTGTGCGTACTAACGTTTCAGGAAATTAGTTCATCATTCACTTGTAATTTTTATCAGCTCAAGATTGGTAAACTAGGGTTACAATTTGTACTTTTAAATTTATTATATATTTTTCCCTTCTTGAGTCGTATCATGTAATTGGGCGGATATCTTTGCTGAGTAACCTTACACACACATATGGGGAGTGGAAAAATATTTTTTAGAGTGTTCTTTTTAAGTAATTAGTATTGTATAATTTTGGTTTTGTACTATACAAATTTGTTTCATATTGTATGATTTTAATTCCTGCTGTACGAACTGTTGTGCTATGTCAAAACCCTACCAGCTAGAGGTTAAGAAAGATACTAAATATAATACTGATTGTACAATATAATTTGGTTCATATTATATGCCTTAATTAAAATCTTTCTTAATTAACCCTTCAATCTCAGGTAATCAAATCATGGATAATTATTATGATCTATCGTACTGTACAATACAATTTGTACAATACAATTGATAGTGTACAAAATTGGTCGTCCCAGAGATTATACCGAATGAAATCTATGATTTTTGTACAAATCGTATTGTATGATGTTCATAGTGCTGGACAATTGACAGTGTACAAAGTTAGCCATCCTAAGGGTCATTCCAAACAAACAGAAGAAATTTATATAGTTCGTACAGTATAATATTTTGGTCGTACTGTACAAAATGTTATAAAGGATGAATAGTTCGTCTTCACGAGCTTGTTTGACGAGTCTGAATTACACTAATTGTACTATACGAATAGAAGATAGATCTCTTGAAAATTAGAGTTTCTTGAAGCCTATAACTTAAGGTTTTCTAATACTTCCATTAGGAAATCTTTAGCTATTGAGACTTCTTGAAAGAGAGATTTGAGGGAGAGAAGATGGAGAGCTTTGTGAGAAAAGAGAGGGAGATTTTGTGTGGGAGATGTTGTGAGGGGATTCACAAGGTTACTCCAAGCAAGAACCTTGCCTAGTATCTACAAGCATATGCCTGTATTCTCTATGGTTATAGAGAAGAAGTTCTTTAGCAAAGATTGTGGTTCTTTGACCATCACCTAGAGGGTGAAAATAGAGTCGTTCTCTAAACATCCCTTGAGGATGAAAAAAGAGTTGTGGTTCTCTGTCCATCACTTGGAGGGTGAGAATAGAGTTGAGGTTCTTTACCTGTAAAAGAGTCATGGTTCTCTGTCGTACCGGGGTGGTGAAACAACATATGTACTGGCTTTTCCACCTTACTGTGAGAGTAAAAGGAGAGTCACTACTATTTAGAGCAATACTTGTAGAGGGAGTCTCCAAGGAGTGGAGGTAGATCAGGTTGACAGAACTACTATAAATTATGATGTGTTCATTATGATTATTTTCAACACTTTATTTTTAGCAATTATATGCGTGGTTGAAAAATATGATTTATTTCATTGTTAAGAAATTTACTTATTTATGTATCCATTGTATTAATTATCGTGTGTGTTTGAAAATGTTTTAAAGAATTTCTTTTTTCCTAAAGAATTTTTTTTAAATATTTAATTCACCTACCCTCTTGGTTAGTCTTGGGCTAGTTCTTAGAGGTTTAATAATCTTCACAAACTTTTAATGGTTGCTCCGGACTAGTTACGCCCTTGCTCCTCCTATTGCCTTAGTGAGTCTTGAAGCCTCTCTTAGAAGAGAGGCTTTTAGGTCAAGTCCTCGAGGTACTCTACCTTTTCTAGGAAGGAGAAAAGGAGCTGAGGTTCTCTGTCTTCTCCAAGAGGGAGAAAAAAGGAACTGAGGTTATATGGCTTCTCTATGAGGGAGAAAAAAGAGTCAAGGTCTATTGCCACACTAGAAGCATGACATAGCGTTAGACACTCTGTCGCATCAGGTTTGGAGAAAATGTGTATGTAAGGGCTTCTCTATCTTGCTGTGTGAGCAAAATAAGAGTCACTTTGCAATTAGTGCAATACCCGGAGCGGAGGACTCTAGGGATTGGACGTAGGTCAATGTTGACCGAACCACTATAAAAATCTCGTGTGTGTTTTTTCTTTTGCTCTTTTATTTTTCTAGCATTTTATTTCTGTTATAACTGCTTGGAAAAATTGGTAATTATTGTTTCGTTTCATAAATCAATATATCATCATAGTTAAATCAATATTTTTGATTAACATGTCTGCTTCCGCAATTAATTAAAATTTGGTATTTTCAATTTCTAAAACTTTTCAAAAATATTGTCGTTGTTATTTTGAAGTTGATTTTTTTTAAAAAAATTACCAATTCACCTCTCCTCTTGGTGAGCATCAAGCTAGTTGACTAGTTCCTTAAGGTTTAACAACTTTCACGAACTTTCAAACTTGGGATAATTTAGAAATTTACTGATAAGTTGATACCCTCAACAGTTCCAAAGCCAAATTAACTTCTAATTCCTGAACGTTTCCTTACCTCATTTCATCATTTGTGTCTTTTGAGCATTCCACCTCCGTGAATATAGCGTAAGTTATTCCTCATTTTTTTCTTTATAAGCAAGTATCAAAAGTTCTAAATATTTAGATTTTGAAGCTTTCATGGATTTTTTCTTAAAATGGAACGCCTCTTAAAAAAGTATAAATTGTAGGTCGGATCAAGTCGATCAGGCTGAAAAGTCAAATAAAAATGAAATACAATTAAAAAATTCACGTGTCTCATCCACGAGTCAAGATTTAATTGAAGTCCAAATACAAAGCTATGTCCAACTCGAGAACAAATAATTTCTCTTCAAAATGTCCCATAAACTAAATAGAAGTTTTCAAGTTTACAATGAAGATGATTTGACAAGCGTCTGCCATTTTTTTTAATTAAATAGTGATGCCGTGGGCACTTTAGTAAACTGGCGAATTTTATTGATGGCTGGTCAGTCTCTTTCTCTGTTCTGAGTTTGGACGAGCCTTAAGGGGCAGAAAGCCCTAATTGTTGAGATTCGGCAGGGTCTTGGATTTCATCAGATTTATACAATCCATTACCGGTTATCGTCATCTGATTCTAAAGTTCTTAGATGCAGATCGTTGCCTTTTGTGAGATCTAATTATTTGGAGCCTGCAACAAGTAAGAAAGGCGTCAAATTTTGCAGAATTTCCGTTTCATGCTGCTGTTTTAACTTTTGGGGTTATGGAATATTGATTATTTTTGGTTCTCTTTTTAACGTAAGATTTTTTTTAATATAATAATAATAATTTGTTTTTTAATTAGAGATTTTCTCCTCCGGAGATTAATCGACGGCTATGAAATTTCTGTTATGATTTTCTGAACTGCGGTTTTGAGAGAGAGATCTTGATGTTGTATTGACGCTGTAAAGCTCATGTTATTTGTTTTGGATATAAAGATAGCAACCTTTGATTCATTTGGGAATTTCATGTAGGTATTTTATGAAATCTGAAATATGGCATTTGCTTAGCCAATTTTTGGATGGTTCATGTTCACATCCACTGAAGACTAGTTCTTCTTTATTTTCTGCATTCTCTGAATGACACTGCGAGATGGACAGTAGGCAAAGATTATAAAATCATATACTTGGATGTTGAGAAGTTTGATTGTCTATCTATTTTTGTAAAGGTTGTTTATTGGAATTTCAATGTGAGAAACCTCAATTTCCCTGTTAAGCTACCACTTTTCTCCTCCCGTTGATACTTGTGCTTGCCAATCAATCCAAAACTCATCCACCTTTTCCACGAGTGTGTCACACTCCAACCCAATAAAACTCCTACAATGTAATGGACCAAATTAAGCTGAGATGCAACATATTAGAACTTCAATCAAGCATTTCTTTAAACATTATATTTGTATCTTTCATAAACAAGCTCCTCTCAGGACTAGGATCTATTTAAAAAGTTATCATTGTCTATTTGCATCACACATAGAGCCAATAATAAATCATTGAAGAATAATAACATAATTAAGAAACATAGACTGCCATTTACGTGATTGTACTATGGACATCCAAAAAGATTCATTTAATAATAAGCATGATCATCAATTAGGGTACATCTAGAAAATTTACATGTAAACCATAATTACAAAAGAGATCATACACAATCAAATGTTACCTTTCAGATTATTAACCAAAATGTGATATATCACTACTTCTCAAATACTTATCCTTTCTTAAATCCAAAAACACATTCATATACAATAGGTTAAGCAATAAGCCCAATAGGTTACATGAATCTTACTATTAAATTTAGTGTACACAAAGGCATTAATTTGTATAGTTTCAGCTTATGTCATTGATTTAAATTGTAATTATAGATGCAATTCTTGTTATGCTCATGTTAGGACATCATATTCATGTTCTTATCATGCCATAGTAATTGCAATTAATGCTTAAATATTGAGAAAACAATCATGTAAATATGCATGTTTATCATTCATATAAAACTTATGATAACAAAGTTCCATACTTTATGTGAGCTTTGAATTGGTAATATATTGCATATCTTATGCCATCTTATTATCTTATAATATAGTAGTCGACATAGTAGACCTTTCTCAATATATACCATTGTCATCACTCTGGTGTCCATTGATTCACTTTCATGACTTTTTGGTACTAATTACCAAAATAATAAAAAATCGTTAGCAATATAGCCTATTTTGGTGCATAATGCCAAAATCCTCCCTTGTACACCTTTAGAGCACCACCTGCTCTAACTTAACATAGAAAGTTTAGCCAACATGCCCTCTTGCGGGGATCTTTGTAGATCTGCTTAGCTGTGGAATTCATAACCAACTCTTCGTTGCTATAGTAATGTAAATGTGGGCAAATTTAAACATTTTAATTGTGAAATCATTGCAACATTGAGAAAATCTCGTTTAGAATGGCATATGAAGAATACTAAAAACACATGAGAACAAGAATGATCGAATCATGAGGTAGGAGGATTGTATTCTATCTCATGAGGAATAATTTATCTAAAAGATTTGACTTCTTAATCAACCCCTAAAATATTCAGATGCTTCCTCTCTCTAGCTCATCAAACTAGGTGCATAGTGCCTCTTCGTTGCTATGAAAGGGAATAAAAGGAAATGGGAAAAAAGGTAGAGAGAAGAGAAAAAATATGAGTAATAAAGTTTTTGTAAGCAAGCTTCTCTCAGCCTGATTTAATATTAAAAAATATTCCATAAAAATATGCTTAAAATTGAGTGTTTAAAACAATGATGAAAATTGTTTAAATTGTACTGGCCTATAACAAGTATCATACATTGTGTTCAATGGATTATACAAATTTTTCATAATTTGATTAGACATGCAGTCCTTTTTAGATATCAAAACTGTTGAAATTGCACGCATAATATAAAATTGTTAGAATTGTGTGTACAAAATAAAATCATATTTGTAGAAAGTTTCATAAATACATACACATGCATAAATTATATTTGGTGAGTAGTAGTTTCCTAAATGGGTAAGCATTACAATTTCCCATCTTAAGAATAATTTCATTCTCAACATTTCAACTCGTGTAATAGCCAATCAAATAACTATGGGAACAATTGCCTCATCTTAGCTTTCTTCTCCTGTGATTTTTCTTTCTGTTTTGTGCTTCCATTATACTTCTACCATAGGAATCCGCTTAGCCTCAATCGCTTCAAACCAAAATCCAGCTTTCTTTCACATTCCTTTGTGAGTGTTAAAACTTGTTGTACATCAACTTTTGCTTCTGAAACTTTGTTTGTTGCATTTTGTAATCTAAAAGTGATAAAACATGAAATACATTCTAAACCTCTTTCATATGATGTGCAGATCAATCTTTAAGCAACTTTGTGAACTCTATCAATCTCCTTGAAAGCTAATATACATTGGCTTAATTTACGATATCTTCCAAACGTGCTTCTATCTTTCAGCGAGCTCACTTTCTCAAACAAAAAGTCGCCAACTTCAATGTCATTGGCTTTTTGCTTAGATTCATAATATTTATTTTGCCTACTCTAAGCTATCTTTAATGTGGTCCTAATAATGTTGATATTTACAATTGCATCATCCGCAAACATTTCACCTAACAATCTCCTTTCTCCTACTTTTAGTGTCCATATGTATTGAAGAATGTAGTCTGTTAGACCGGTCCATCCAGTCCGACAGGATCGGCTTACGCGAACAGAGGCAGAGTTTTTCGCCTCTTGTACGCGCCGAACGCACGCACGGCAGGTGCGAGCTGTTTAGGAAGGAATTTTGAGGGAATTAGGAGGGAAATTTGAATATAGAGATTGTTTAGAGATTTTCTTTTGATTTGTATACATTAAATAGTTTGTTTTCCTAGGGTTATGACATCTTGAATTTGGCTGAAATTTGAGATATCTTAGATTTAGGTTTGCTTGTGGGTTCTTGCGGCGTCTAGAGATTTGGGAGAGATAAAACCTCCTCTCGAATAGAGGATCAATTGTATCTAAATATTTTCTGTTTCCATTTCATCAAATAATACAAATTATCTACCATTTTCCTAGTTTTTTGTGGATTTTTGTGAAGAATTCTTGTTGTTTTTCGAAGACTGATAGGAAATACTTGAAATCTACAAGTGTTTCCTATCAAATTGGTATCAGAGCCATTTTTGGGACCTTTGGTGAGCTGTGTTGGTGAATTTCAGCGACTGTTTTTGGGATTTTGAAGAAGAAAGTTGTGTTTTTGAAGGTTGAAGTCCAGATTTTTATTTCTACAAAAATCCAGGCATCAATGGCTGCTAAGAAACTGGATGCGTTGGAGGAAAGCCTCGAAGTGGAGATTGGACAAATGAAATTTAAAATTTCAGATCGCTGAACTCAAGTTTCAGATTTAAAAAAAGATATTTCAACTATCAATGATAAGTTCGATTCGAAATTTTCCATCTTGGAGGAGATGTTGAAGAAAGTGCTCGAGGTCCAAACCAAAATATCGCCGTCGGAGGTGAGGGAAAGCGCCAACAGCCACGAAAGTGGGGAAAATCTGAAGCCAATTAGACGAAAGGAAGATGAAGAGGTGGAGATTTTGGAGGGAATAGAAAAAATTCCTCTCTTAGGACTTATTCCTAGGAAGGAGTCTGGTTGAGGGTATGTAGAGAGATATGAGGGGGTTGGGCATGAGTGGAAGGATGTTGAATTTGAAAGAAGAGGGACTGAATTGAGAAGACGAGGACCTGATTATGATCGAAGAGGTGTTAAATTTGAATGGATAGTGGTTGAATATGATTGAAGGGGTGCTGAATTTGAAGGGAGGATGTGGGTTTGTGATGAAAGGTTTGGGTATGAACGTAGAAGGAATGATTGGGGCACTTGGGAGGAATCCTCCCTTGGGGAAGGGGAAATTATGAAGGGAACAGAGGGAAAGGTGGTGATCTGAGGGTGTGGAAACTGAAGATGTCTATCTTGAGAGAGATGAAGCACATGGGTGGATCTACAGGGTAGAAAATTACTTTACTATTAATAGGTTGATGGAGGAGAAGCTGACGACAGCCAGGATGTTCTTGGAAGGGAAATCTTTAGCATGATACCAATGGAGGGATACGAGGAAACTGATAAGGACCTGGAAGGAGTTTAAGGATTGGCTATTGGAACATTTCCAAACCAACAGGGGAGGGGACTTCTGCGAGTAGTTCTTTGCTTTGATGCATGAGGGGACAGTGATGGAGTACCGTGAGCAATTTGAGTACCTTGAAAGTCGATTGGATCGGCTTCCAGAGACTTAATGGAGGGGAACTTTATGAAGGGACTGAAACCAAAGATCCGCGCAGCAGTCAGAGTGATGAGACCTCGGGACTTGGGAGAGTCTATGGAGCTAGCTCAGCTGGTGGAGGATCAGTGGCACCTGAAAAAAGGAGCAAGAGGCAACAGTTTAGGAGGCTCGTACAGAATGACCACCACCTTTTTGGCAATCAAGGAGCCAACACCAGGTACTCTTAGGGATACTTCGAAAGAGAAGACAGCCGGAGGAAGATCTAGGGACAACTTCAAGAAGCTTACAGAAATAAAATTATAGGAGAAGAAGGCGAAGGGGATCTGTTTCAGATGTGACGAGAGGTATACGCTTTGGCACAAGTGAAGGACCGAACTCTTCAGATTCTTACCGTTTGTAATGAAGAAGG